TAATAGTAAGTGTAACAATCTTGAATTGCCAATCATGGACATCATTTGTCCATATAGCAAAATATGGCAAACAGTTGTATTGGTTGGTCCACCCATCCATTATCAGTGTGACTGCAACAGTATCTTTCAGAATATCAAAAATGTTAGCCTTCAGAGTTGTATGTACATCAGCTAGGGCTCTTCTGGACACAGTTTTCCAGAATGGAAGCAGCTTAAACTGTACTTTTTTTGACAAAACAGGCAAAAGTCGCTCTATCCACAACACTGAATGACATCAGTTCCAAACAAATTATAACAGCCAAATCCCTGTTGAATTCATATTGAGACTGAGCTGGCTTCATTTTTCATTGAAGATTAGAACCATTTCATGCAGGGATTTTCCATGTTTGGCAGTAGCATGTTTCAGATTGTTATCAGGTTCTGTTGATGGGCTTGTTTTGTACACATTTTGCATACTGCCAAATTCAGCAGCTAGTTGCTCTTCATGGCAATACCTCTAGTAAAGGACTTCTGATATGTTGACATATATGCCATTTTTATCTTCAGTCAAATGGCTCATAAATGAAGGGCTTTAGAAGACTGGCCTTTTTTACCCATTTCTTTTTTGCACCCAAGAGAAATTATGCTCCTTGTATGACTATCAAGGAACCAAAACACACTTTCTTGTTTTCTCTTAGCTGTCAAAATATCTACAACAAATCACAAACATTATCATAAATTTGTAAGTCACAAATTGCATTGCAGTAGCTATATATGGGAACAGTGTCAGGATAATTAATGCTTGCAAAGTTGCAATAGGTTACAGGTTTTCCTTAGAAAGTTTCAAATTTGCTGTAAAATTGAAGAATATAACTGATGTAGCAAGTGGATAAAAACAGGTTATTTATTCCATAACTGAAGCTTTACAAGATGATATTGACATACAAATATCAATGTTTCACTTAAAATTTGAAAAGTAAAAAATTCTCAGCTTAAATAGCTGAGCGAAGTGAAACAATTTCTGAAAGAAAATGAAGGTCTGAAGGACTCTTGTCCAAAGTTGTGATTCTGTTGAAATTATCCTACACAATTCCAGCAATAACATGCAATGCTGAGTAATCATTTAATTGCCCACAAAACTATCTGCAAATTATGTGGCAGTTCTGTACATTCAAAAGACTCTTACTGCTGAAATGGACATTGAAAAAATTCTGGACGACTTCATTTCAAGAGCTGATCATCATCAGAAAGTGTTTGCTGTCTCCTAAGTGGTTAGTGCTAATTTTTCATATTTTTATTCGACCAGGATAAGTGCTTTATTAGTCCTGATTTAAGTGTTTTCACTTTCTTTTGGTAAGCTGGTTTATTTTAGTGAGGCTCAACTGGGTCAAAGAACATGCTGTCTGAACTGAAGCAATGTGGAACAAAGTGATGTTCTCAGACGAATCAAAGATTAACCTGCATGGGTTTGATAGGAAGCACTTTAGTACGAAGTTGATGTGAAGAATAGTTTCTATCAGCATGTTTGAATACAACTGTGAAGCATCCACAGAGTCAGGTGATATGGGGATGCATCTCTGGCTAGGGCATAGGATACCTGCATTTTGTGAAAGGTACTGTTAATGCCAACAAGTATATCAAGATCCCTAAGTCCTGATGAAAGCGAACAATTTGAGATCACTTTATTGGAGCTGACTAGTGCATATTCTAAGATGACTCTGGTACATGCCACAGAGCAAAATTGTTGGTAATATTCATGCACTACATGGAGTAGACATGAAATAATGAGAAAATTTCACTCTATGTGTACTGAAATTCGCTTCAGGTGAAGGATGGTCTTTGATGGGATAAGATCAAGACACTACACTGGCCAGGCAACAGCCAAGATCTCAACCCTATCAAAATCTACTGGAAAATAATTGGTAACAATGTGCATGAGAAGAAACAAAGAAGCACCTTGTAATTGCAGAAAGCCCCACCACATGTATCATCATGAACTCACCCCTGCCTACATTCAGTCCCTTGTACACTCTATGCCATAGCAGCGTCAAGCAGCTATCAAGACCAGGGAAGAGGATGTATATCTTGAAATCTCATTGTTTTTTTCTTTCATTCAAAGAATATTTTTGTATTTCCTAAGTATTTGTTGATCATTTGCTCTAATCGATTTGTCACAGTTTGTTTGTTGATCCTCTCACCATTATACTGTGCATGTAACAAGGTTTTAGTGAGTTATATTCAAAATTTAATTAAACTATTTTTTATTTATATTATACCAACTAGTATAATATAAAATTGTAGCCAATAATCCATAGTACATAAGTTTTAAGTTCTTAATTTTATAAGGCAATATTAAAAAAATCCTGAATTTCACCTAGTGTGAGAAATTTTATTTTATTTCTAGGTATCTCCTCTTCTCTAATTTATTCATCCCCCTCTAATATGTCCAATATTTAACGTGAATTAGTCACTATAATATCATCATTGCTCAAACAAAGCATAATTTTTCATAGCCTTCAATCATGTTTAGTTACAGAGCCATCAAATAGAAAAATTAGACCTCTCTTGTCACATCCTTTCTTTCAGGATTTGTTAATAATTATCTCGTGTTTAATACTATACTATTTATAACCAACAGAAAGCCAAGGTTTTCATCTATCAAGTGATGTATTATATTACTTTGTTTTTGAACAGAGAATTTCAGTTCCTCTTTTAGTATAAGCTTCATTCTTACAAGAAACAAATCGACCAGCTTAGATGAATTTGTTACAGCTCTTGTTGCATAGTTACAAAGCCAGAAGAATTGTGAGAGTTATGGGACATTGTCTGCTTTTTGCATGTTATTATTCTATGTTCTTTAGTGCATTATTAAATAAAATTAGTTAGTACACTACTACCATTAGTATAATAAAAGTAGGGTTAAGTGTCATCAACAGTTGACAGCAAAAAAAAAGAAAAAAAAAGAAGGTCCAGGTAAGTACCTTATTTCTTGTTTTTCATGTGTATTCTTTAGTTATTATTATTATAAAATTAACTAAAATGTAAAAATAGGAATCTCTTTCAGTTAGATAAGGTTAGTTCAGTTAAAATAAATAGCTCGTGGGTAATGTAATTCTACAGCATAACTTGAGCCCCACATTTCCCAAGTGACTTACAACTTATAATGGCATGAATAGTAGTTAGATGCAATTCAAAGGGCAATAAAACAATAACACTTGAATATAAATAGAGGCAACATAAATAGAGCCAGATCCCTTGGCTGTGGTATCGTTTAATGCTATTTAGGATAAACAAATGTAGTTTCATGTTACAATTTGAAGTCATTCTAGAAAGAAAAAAATGGTAATATAGATTTATTTCGATTTTTTTTTTGGTGGTTACAAGTTTGGTCAAATTGATCAATCTTGTATAGAGTTATGGTAGAGAAAATAACAGATAGAAATATAGAGTTTTACTGAAAAAAATACATTGAAAATGTACTTAGGAGGTTTTAGAGATTATGCAAATGAAGTTTGAGGTTTTTGAGATGAAGAAAAGTAAATTTAATCTTAACATGAAAATCACTTTGCACCCAAATTAGTCAAATTTAGTCTATTAAAATACTACACTAAAAAATCTTATTTTTTGTATGTAAAAGACTTGTAATGTTTACTGAAAGTCTGTGATATTTTGTGAAGATATACATGCTATATTAAAAGTTAGTGGTATCAGAAACATAGCAACTTTAAGCTAGTATAAAGTGGTCACATGATTAGTCAATTCAACCGAGCTCATGTAAAGAGAGTTAATAAAGATGTATAAATGTGTTTGGATGACTGAAATATAAGTCACCTTTCACCACACAATCTCCAAAACCATTTTACACTAGTTCTGACACTTCTACAATGCATAATCTTATAAAAAATTACAGCAACCAAGAAAAGTGTGTTTGTTTATTTGTTTGTTATGGATTTCATGCAAAGCTACACGAGGACTATCTGTGCTAGCCATCTTTAATTTAGCAGTGTAAGACTAGAGGGAAGGTAGATAGTCATCATCACTGTCACATTATAACACCCCCACGGTTGAAAGGGCGAGTATGTTTGATGTGATGGGGAATCGAACCCGCGACCCACATATTGCGAGTCAAGCACCCTAACCACCTGGCCATGTTGGGCCACAGAAAAGTGTGAAAAAAATTGGGTGGTGCAATATTATTATTATTCCACCATTTATATGGAAAGTGAAAAAAAAAACCTGCTGCATATATGTCTGTTACAGACCACCTACATCAGCTGCAGTATAGATTTTCCAGTCCTTTTCAGATCAACATTTGGTAATGGTCATTAGATCAAAATTTACACTGCAATTTAAAGCTTAAAACTAATTTATTTTTCATCAAATTCAGCTTAAAAACTTCAAACAATACTTTGTACAGAAATATTCCATAATACAAAAATAATCATAAAAATTCACAGGAAATAACGAATATGCATACCTTGTTTTGAAGGATAATTTTGTTTATCAATTCATAAGAACTCTCAAAACCTGATCACCATATAAGCAGGCACCAATTTTAATATTTTGGAAATATTAATCTGAATGGTTCTTTACAGGTTAAAACAAACTTTAAAGTAAATAAAGTAAGTCAAACCTAAAAACCCCCTGACTCATAATTTTTGAGATCTTTCCATCATTTTTCAGATTTAGATTCTGTGAAGGTCAAAGGCCAACACACAAAATTTCATATTACTTTGTCCAGAATTATAATAGTAATAATAATAATAAAAAGAGTTTAAAAGCAAAATATATACAGATGCATGCTTACACAAAAAATTATTATGAAGATACTGTATAAATATACAGCACCATGATATCAAAATTACAGGCTAGAAAAGTGTCAATAACAAAAAAACTACTATAAAAAACAAATGTCTTTAAGACTGCACACAATTTTATTTATCAAATAATATTAATTTCCTGAAGTTGAACCAAATTTTCTTAAGTTTAGATAAACTACAAAAGTAAATGTAATTGCTTACCTTAGATGAATTTTTGCAACATTTACATTAAGATTTTGTAGTATCATTCTTAGAACTTTAAAGGATTCAGCACTTTTCATATTGATGTTTTCCCGAAAGCCCTTGAAGAATGAGAAAAATCATCATTTATTCCCTGTTAATTTATAATATATGATAAAAGATGTACAAAATTTACATAAAACAATGATGTGAAATATCAAATACTACTTTTATTTTATGGTTTTGTTTACCATTCATTTATTATTCCTTCTATCATTTAGTTCAACTATAAACTAGAGCAAATTATTTTTGAGTATGTATGTATTGTGAAACTAACACAAGCTTTCCCAAGTGATGATGCACAGATATTAATGTTCTGAAATATTATGTATGTTTATGGTAAAAGCTAGTCACAAGAGATGTAACCTCATGGTCTAGCCACTAAATAAAAAGTTTTCCTTGATCTTAAAAGCAAGTTAGTTCATGAGGTATAGTTAGAAAGTATCACTACTAATTATTGCTCAGTATTGTTCTGGATAATGAGAAGTACTTTAATTTTGAAACACTGTGTTATTATTCGCTAAATTAAGTTTTTTTTATTTTTCTGGTTCTTTTTCCTCATTCATTTGATACTTACTGAAATTAATCACATTGAGATTTATCTTGTATTGTTTATTAAATGTTTGAAAATGCTTTGTCTGGATTTCTGTTGTTGTATATAATAAATTGTTTTTTGTTTGACCCTGGTTGTAGCAACATTTAATTAGTCCGTCACAATGTTATTTTTGATTTCATAAGCTTACATATCAACAGAAGTGTGATTTACATAGTGATGATTAAATGTCATAGTTCTTTCAAAAAGGCTGAAACCAGGAAAAAAAGGTAAATATGCACTGACCTTCCAGAAGAGCTTAAGTTTCTTGCCAATTTCTTTCTTCTCTTTACTTTCTGTAGCTGTTAGGTATACATTCTCAATAAAAAGTCCCACCAAAGAAATTTTCTGCCAAAGTGGTCTGAAAGGTAAACAACACTCAAACTAAGGAATTATCAATCATAGAAAAATTATTTATTATTGTAAGTTTATTTCTACACACTGGATTCAACAAATCATATCCTTTTAAACTTGTATTTAACAAAAAAATTTAAATTCTCTGCTTGATGTACATAGTTTTTTAAATGGTTATTCCATGTTTGGCTAAGGCATTTTTAAAATACTTTTTTGTTGTGGGGTTACTGTGAGGAGTCATCCACCATCATTTTAAAAATGGAAAAACAGTTATAAATTGATGAGCTATGGGAAATAAGCAGCTTTAAACTGAAGCTTACTGCAACACTATTTTCTTTCCTTGTCTGAAAGTCTAATCCATCTTTTTGTTGTTATCAATTTGTCATATTTTAAACCACAGGTATGAATGAAGTGTGAGGTACACACAAATGGATCAGTGAAATATGTATATATATTTTTTCAACGTAATTTTTGACATAAGCATTTTTCTAAAGTTTATCTTACAGCTAACCAACATTAAATTAGGAGCTTTTAAAATTTTTTTGAATTAAATGGTCTGTGAATATAAATTTTTCAACAACCTAATTTCAGTCCAGGACCAACTATTTTATTCTTATCACCTATTCTCCATAACTCTAAGGTTTTGGTTTTCATCTCTGGTATTCTAGCATCTGTTATTTTCCACTGTATTTTGTCACATCCTCTACATTTGTTGAAAAAAACCAACGAGAGCTGGCTAGTGGAATACTTAGGTAAACAACTGAGACTTAAAGTGTTGGGTTAATTTTATTTCTAATGTTTTTCAAGTGTCCTCCTGTACCCCTAAGGGTACATCACAGGTTTGGAACCACTGGAACAACTTAAAGAAACTAAATTTAACAAAGAACAAAAGAAAGATATAAAAGTAACTAACAAAATTTAAATCAAAATAACAAGTATACCATGTGAATTATCATACATATATACAGATATTTACAGTGTCCCTTAGAGAGGTAACAGAAGATTATCAAGTTCTTTGTGGAGGTGTCAGATAATTCACCAATAACGTTGACTTGTTACTACATCAGATGTACCAAATATGGCTGGGATGGATTTCATTGACATTTACATAAGTGTCTGGTTATCATAATTTGTTTATTATAGGCTTGTGTTCGTTGGTGGAGAACAATATTGCTCTTGAGTTTGACAAAATTAAAAAGAAATTTCACAAGTTAAAAGATGGAAACACCAATAAGTGAGATGAACATGGGGAGAAAAGGGTAGAAAGTTGTGTAGAGAGGTGAGTAACTATCTGAAATACATTTCAGGTAAGGAAAAATGTTAGCTTTAGAACTCTCCACAACAAAGGGCAAAAATCCAACACTGAGAAGGTGTAGGAGCCAATGCAGATAAATAAATTACAAGATGAGCTTAACTTGAAACATAATATCTCAACCACTGGAGGGTAATCCAGTAAAGTAGTCCCTGGTGGATACAACTCCTCTCAATAACAACTTCCTTTTAAATACGACTTTTTTTCTATGCACAGAACAATTTTACCTTGATCTGACCTACCACAAAAGACTTCCTGACAGATGCGACATACAACCGTGATTTTTGAGTGGTAGGTTGAATAACAAACACTCTATAATGACTTTTCTTCATATCAGTAATGTAATTTACAGAAACACATGTATACAGTTTACACAGTATGGAACAAACATGTCACATGACCAGAGACTGTTTCATAGTTTAGTATATGTCTCTTGGTACCCTGGGGTGTTCAAGTCAAACCCCTTGGTACATATATGTAGGTATTTTGATTTAAAAACTTTCCGGTCCTGAAAGGTCAGACCAGTCAGAAGATGTTTGTCCTCACCCCACTTACGGAATTAAGGTTTATTCTTTTAGTGCATGTAGTAAATTTTGTGTTAGTGGCCTAGATGTTAAGTAACTTGATTATTATTTACATGAATGGGTGTGAAGCTTCTTAACTGGTGGGTTGTTAAGTGACAGACTTGACTAATCTGTGCGATAAGCATGGCGAATGAAATGCTTCAAGGCATCTGGGAAAGCTGCGAATGTCTCAAGCTGAGAACATGAAGTCACTGTGAAGAAGAAGGTTCAAAGTGCTGATATAGAAACGTCACATGGATGTCGATAGAGACCAAAGTTGTGACGCAAGCAACAACATAAATGAAACGTGGAAATTAACAGAATTTTTAGTCAACTTTAAATTGTTTTAATGCAACATATTACATTTTATGTTGTATTTGTTTTCAGAGAGGATTACCTTATTAGGTATTGGCTAGAGTCTATCAATAATTTAGTTCAAATATTTAATCTTATTTCTTTACTTGTTCTTTTATATTTGAAAAATGGTCCCTTTTCAGAGCTGGAATCAAAGGATCCAAGATTCAAGGTGAAATTTTGGTTTAGGGTGGGGCGTTTTGTTCAATTAAGATATGTAATTTCTGATGTTTGGTTCTTTGTTTAAAATTACAGTGTTTTGTATGGATATACTGTGGATTTTTTTTAGTAACAATGGTGGTAAATAAAAGTGTAGAATGATTTGTTTTTTTATTTCAGGGAACCTGGTTTCCATTATTCTTCTGGTTTCTCTATTATAGAATTCTGAACATTTATTGCATGTTATTTTATAAATTGATACTAAATTCATGCACTGAAAACTTCTTGATATAATAACTACCAGATTTGTGAATATTCAAAGTGATTCTGCTAAATGTGCAAAACAAACAACAATGGACGATTTTTTATGAAATACAATTTGTTTCAGTTTGTAATATTTTATATGAATGTAATAAAAATGTGATACGTGAATGTTTATGAAATATAAGTGATCGATGAATAAATCATTTTACATAAAACACACACAAAAAAAATTTTAAGTTATCTTTATTGAACTGTTATCCATCAATATTATTGTTACGACAGCTGGGGTCACGTGATGCTAGTAACACGTCATATTCTCGAAGGTTCCTGAAGTCTCGAGAGGTTACTAGATGTACGGTATTCTTGCATATAAGACTGCCAAGAACTGACAGCAACAAGGTAATGTGTAATTGAACTGCAGACAGAGAGAGACATATTGTTGAGTGAGCACATGAGACGTTCGTTGTGCATTATAGCGTTTGTTATAGCGTGACGGTGGAAATTAAGAGTATTTCAAAGTTGTATTCAGAAAGAATAAACCACTTTTATTTCAGAAAGGACTTGTATTGCTAAAGTTCTTCGGAAAGAGTTTTTACGAGAAATTAACTAACGACCAGAGACATAACATTATTATTATACAGTGTATCAGTATGCTACATTACCTGACTATCTATACAGTATATAAACCATTATGCTCAAACCCCTGGGAATAGCAACTAGCACAGCTTGAATTTGGTCGTCCATTAACTGGTTATTGATCCTTTGCATAATGACTTCCTGTCAGATGCAACTTTTTTATCATGGCAGGTAGGACGGTCATATCTAAGAGGGACTACTGTAGCATATCAGTTGGTAGGAAACTATCTCAAGCGGGAAATACTTTTTACCAAATAGAGGTTGTTGTGGAATATATACTGTCAAAATAACCTCTTGCATTGTGATAAAATGTTGTACAGGTGGGCAAAATCAAAATGGAAGATTTTTCAATTGCTTCATTATCTCACAGGAGGTTGGCTCAAAATGAGCATAAGTGTGGCTAGGTCAAGTAAGGCCATTACCTATTATATATACTTAATTATTAGGTGCAGGAAGAAAATATAACAGACCTGCATCCTCAGGAAAACATAAAACCCATCTGGCGCTGACCTAACCAAACCAACAGAAATGGCTTAGTTCACAGTATAGTGGCCTATGCTACATTTCCTGGTAACACCCTAGTCCTACTTCCTCTAGAGTAATCCGTCCACTCTGTTTCATATCAGTTAATTATACTGGCCCAGTTGAGAATTCTCCATATTTACTTCCCCAGCAGCTTGGGACCAGAGAAGAAAGAGCTTTACCTTACTCCTCTAAAAGGAACTCAAATGGAGGAGAATGCTGGAGAGAAGCATGGACCAAAAAGAAGCACCTAAAATTGAGAAAACTGTTCATTTTAAACCAAGAAATTGACTTAGGACACCAATTTCCCTTCTTCTTAGAAACAACAAAACATGCGAGTAACAGCCTAAAGTGGAGTGGTTCTATGAAATTCATAACGCGTACTGGTTAGGATGTTTATCACATATAATTTTATTATTGTTATTTTTATTTTTACCTCTGCCATGGAGGTTATGTTTTCAACCCTGTGTATGTGTTTGTTTGTGTTTTTGTCAGCAAGAATTCTTGAAAACAGCTAAATGAATTTAGGTGAAATTTGGTATACACTTGGACTATGACCCAACTTAGAAGTGATTAATTTTCTGGAGGGTCAAGGTCAAAAATAAAAAAAATCTGTCAACATGAGGATCAATTTTTCACACTAATTTTGCTCTATAACTCAGTCAAAGAAAATCTGAAATTTGATTTTCGATAAAACTTGGTGGACATATGTAGTTTAATAATATGCCTCATTGTCCTGCAAAAAATGGTCCATGTTTGTTCATAATGACGGACCTACAGACACATTTTCAGTATTTTTTGAGAACCGAATATGATCAATGCTGCATGGTGGAGGTATGCTCTCTACTGAGTACCCCTCTAGTTATAATTTTATAACTTTCTTAGCTTAATATATGGTTTTAGGACTAACCTATATCTCCTAAGCTTGCTGAATCTCATGAAATGGTAATGGCTTTACGGCCAAAAATATTGCTAACAGTAAGAGTACCCAACTTATAAAACAATGGATTCTAATCTTTGTAAACAAGAAAGGTACACATAATTAGCTATATTAATTTCTGGGTTTATTTTTTAGTTTCCCTCTACATAGGTAGCTTGCTCTGATTAGAAGTCATTATTAACTTTTATATATACATATATATATATATATATATACATATACACGCACACTGCCAAATGAACACAACGGATACTTATATTTAGTTTATCTTCTTTATTTATGTACAACTTATATTATACAATAAACCATATCCTATTAAAAGGCCAAAGCTTTTTAATAGATGTACTTAGTAAAAATAATAAAATATTTCAACATTTTTTTGTAATTAAAAATATTTCCAAAATAAAAAAGTACATTTTACTATGGAATTTGTGATATTAAAATTAAGGCAAACTACTTTTGTACATCAGACACCAAAGTTTTAAATTCAAATAATCTAACTTCATTCTTCATTACAAAATATATTTTCCAAATTTATTGTTTATTTACTCATTTTAATTCATTTGTTTATATGTCACTTCTACAAAAATTGTCTGCCTATTTTTTTAAGTAAAATTCTTTTAAATTAAGAATCAACTCAAACAAATAAACATGTCAGTGCTTTTAAACTTTTTAAATTATTCTTCTTTGTTGTTTTTAGTGTATATTTTGAGGTATTAAAAATTATTTTTCCTGCACCCCTTTATTTATAAAAAACATTTCTAAACACATTGGCAAATTTATGTTCCTTGTGCCTCTCACTTCCTTAATATAATTGGATTATGTGCTGCTGAGTCTTGCACTGAAGTCATACCTTTTTTGGAGTGATTCAGCAGTTGTATGTGTACTTCAGGTCATCCACATATTGCTGATCCATTTAAAAAAATTCTATTAGACCTAAGAGACCAGTCCTAAAACGACTTTCTAACACAAGATGGTCAGCATACGTAGATGCAATGAAGGCACTGTCAATTGGATACACACATATTCAAGAAGCTTTAAGAACACTTTCAGATGATCAACAACAGAATGCTAATTCATGCCATGAAGCTCGATCATTTTGAAGAAACTCTCTTACCTAGAAACTGTGGTCCTAACACGTTTAGAATTCAACACTCAAACGAATATATAGAACCAGCCAAGCCTTCTAGAAAGAAACTATATGATTAGGAATAGCTTTAAGATTATTAAAGGCCTTAATAGAATATTTTATTGAGTTTCATTGACTAATTTTCTAAGTATGAAAAATTTGTTTGAGAAAAGGTTATTTATAAAGATTACAGAGATGCTGCTGGACGTGAAAACAAGAGAAAATATCCCTTTGACGAAAACAAAATAACTGAAGCTGCACTGTCTGGCAAGGAAAAATTCTGAGTCCACACATTTCTCTTTCTTATTGACACTCTGTGTATTGCAGTGGATAAACGAACTGATTCCAATGCATATGTAAATAATCTTCTTGGATTCCTGATTAATTTTGAGAATATATTGGTGGAGGAGATAGAAAACACTTGTAATAGTTTGCAAGAAGCATAGTCAAAAGATTTAGAAGTATCATTTTATGGAGAGTTTAACAATTTTTACCATCTTGTTGAACAAATGAAGATAAATAAGTGCAATACAAAGAATATTTAAAATTTATAAACCATTCTTTTGAAGCATGACCAACTCTCAACTTTTCCAAATGTGGAAGTTGCAATGAAAATTTATTTAACCCGCATGATAACAAATCACTCAGGTGAAAGATCCTTCTCAAAACTGAAGCTCAGTAAAAATGAAAAGTGAAAAGGTATGCTGCATAAAAAGATTGAATCATTTGTCGCTGATGTCATTTGAACGTGATCTTATGCAAACAATTGAGTTTTCAGATGTTTTTGAACCCCCTTCTCTGATGAAAGACAGAAGAGTAAACATATGATTAGTTGTGTTTGATTTATTTATTGATCAAGATCTGTACTGTTTAATTTGTTTATTTAATTGCATTCAAAAATAAAAATTTTATGAACTAATAATTCTTATTAATGAAGTAAGGTGGGAATACGTTTTAGGTGCCATTTAAGTTTATAGCCCTGGGCCTCATAAGTACTTAATCCAGCACTGCGTGACACATACCAAGACTAATATGCTTGAGATAAGCACTTTCATTATCATTATGCAGTTATCAACCTTTTCTGTATAAAAATCAATTCTCAAATCACATGGAACATACTTTATGTAGAATCAATAAACATGAAGTAGATTACCTGCAGTCATCTAAAATTTTGTCTCTTCTTCTACCATACTTGTCTTTGGTTGACAAAATCTGTTCTACAACTGGTTTCACTTTCTGTATTTCTTTAAACCATTCTCCATGTTGTTCAGAAAGAAGATTCTTTTCAAAATGGTCATTTAGCAGCTCACAACACACTTGTAAAGACAAGGCATCTAAAACCTAGTTATAATCATAAGATAATATTTGTATAAACAAATGTTGATATAATTACATTTCTACAAGTAACTGTATTATAGAAAGAGTTATGATGAAGTTTGTGATCATCAATTCAAAATATATTTACTACTGCAATCAATTTATTTAAAATCAATATAACTGTAATTGAGTTAATAATGGTCATAATTTACAGCTCTAAGGTGTTCTAGCTGAAATCAATTGCATGTTGAGAATTCATGTACTATAAGCACCTATAATGTACAACATTTTTCACTAACAAAACAAAATTAACTTACTTTTAAATAACATATGTTTCATGAAAATAATAAGTACACCACATTTTTTGATAACATAAATTAAGGTATGTTGAACAATGCTACAAAATTATTTATTCATAGGCTTTGCATTTGATAAGCACATGGAAGGTTGTAAAGCACATCAATAGATTTGTGTCTGTACAAGTCTTATTCCTGATCAATATTAATCAGAAAATAAAGAAAACATGAATTATCAATTTAAATATATTGTTGCATCAGCGAGGTCACGTGACTAATGTCACGCCACGTTTCTAGAATTATCCTGTTCCTTCGTGAATGCCGTAGCATTTACTAGATATATGTTAGTCTGTTAGATATATAAGACGCTCACAACGTGACGGGACAACAATGTATGTAGGTAGTGAGTAATTGAACTGCAGTCAGAAAGTATTGTTGAAGTTAACGTTCGTTGTTATAGCGTTTGTTATAGAGCGACTGTTGAAAATAAGTGTATCGGTAAAGTTATATTCAGAAAGAAAAAACCACTTTTATTAAGTAAGGACTTGTGTTGCTAAAGTTTCGGCGGAATGAAGTTACGGAAAATCAACTAATGACTGGAGGCGTAACAAATTGGTGTCAGAAGCGGGATAAAAAAAAAATGGAAACGAGAGCGGCAAATCAGACTACAGCATAGCAGACTTGATGGCAGCAATACAAGAACAGCAAAAGAAACAAGAAGAACGAGAAGAGAAATTACAACAGTTGTTAGAGGAAAAAGAAAAGAAACAAGAAGAACGAGAAAAGAAACAAGAAGAGAGACAACAGCAGTGGCAAGAAAACCTGCAACAGTGGCAGCTCGAACAACGAAATAAACAAGAGAGATTACAGCAGTGGTTGGAGGAGAAAGAAAATAAACAAGAAGAGAAATTACAGCAGTTGTTAGAAGAGAATGAAAATAAACAAGAAGAACGAGAAAAGAAACAAGAAGAGAGACTACAGCAGAAGCAACTGGAACAAGAAAGGGAATAAGAAGTACAAATGGAAAACATTGGTAAATTTAAAAGCGAATTAGATACGTTAAAGAACGATCTATTGTCTTTT